ATCATACAAACAATCCGACAATGCATTCAAGATGTGGCCACGGAAAATCAATTCATCTTCTTGGGGTTTTTGTCTCTCGATCTTGATTGCTTTGGATTCTCCATTCGTTGGTTTCGGCAAAGGTGCCAAATCTGGATCAAGAATATAAAAAATATTCAACGTCATTAGGAGGAATTTCAACTTGTCTTGCCACCGTGTAAAGTTAGTCCAGTCAAAACGATCCAATCTAACCATATCTTAAATAATGAGTTTGATGGTTGCCATAATTGTATCATTCTCCATCGCAGGATATAGTTTGAGATTGTTGGAAAATAAGGGGTTGGAGAAACAACAACAAAATTATAGAAACAAAATGAATTGAAATCACGAAATACGTCAAGAACGAATTTGAGGCTTGAACACGGGATCGTTGTCCTCAAACTATATTTGCCCCCTCTTGGGATTGAATGAGATGCTTAAGGGTTTTGGCAAACAGTTTATAGGATTTTATCAGGCCTTGTAAATGATTTAACACCAAAGTGCAAGTGTAATCCTCCAAAACTTTTAAGAACACAAGGAAGATCTTGAATATGAATGTAAATCAATAGTTTGATTCAATATGGAATGATATATGGATTTCAAGATGTTTTCAATATTTCTAATAATGTTTGTATTGATCATTCATCACCTATTTATAGGTCTCAATCAATGCATCACGAAATTGTGCCAAAACAAGATGAAAAGTGGCAACTTTTAATCCAAAACGGCTCCCAAGTTTCAAATTGAAAAACCAGCCAACGACTATTTTTTAACACTATGTGTACGCATAGTATAAACCATGCGTACGCATTGTAGAAACAAAATTTAATTCTAATTTTGTCAAAACACATCTCGCGTACGCACAAAATTAAGCCTGTGTGTACACATAGGCAAAAAATCAAATTTTGTATTTTTCAATTTCTTTTGATTCTATAAATTTCACAATTGAGCCCAACAATAAGTCCATTATCATTCCATTGATTTTGAACAAATATTCAACAGCAAGACATTAATTTGAAGTTTTGGAGGGCAGACACTTTCCATTTCCCAAGCATTCAACGACTTATCATCAAGAGCTGCCATTGCCTGATGGAGATCCCTTATGGTATTGGAGAAATTCCAACTCTTGAATCAATCAAGTTGCATGACTGCAGCAGTTTGCTTGAAACATCAGCAAAACAGATACAAGAGGAACAATTGAGTTTCGAAAATGAAGGTCTTCAAGGTCGTAACACCATTCACATCAACATCTTCCATTCTACTTCTCCAATTGTCAAGAAATCGAAGGTAACATGCTTCATCTTGAAATATCTCAAGTTTACAATTTTCTCTAATTGTCTTGCAATTTGAATGGATGATTGTGGAGGTTGGGCTTAGGAGATGATGGATTTTGAATTTGTTGAAATATTGGTAGAATCATCACTTGCATGAGAGTATAGGCTTTGTTGTAATTACATTGCCCACAAAGGTGTTTGATTAATTGTCCCAAAAGCGCATTTGTCTACATTCTAGCTTGACTTTTGCACGATACTTGGACTATACACTCATGAACATGGCCATATAATTGATAGCATCCATTTTCATGTCTAACATAAAGTTCAAGGGAAATGACAACTTTTGCCACCCCCCTCCCCCCGGCTTCACCTGTGTTTTCCCCACACATAGCACCCCACTTTGCTATTTTGCTTTGTACTCTTGGTATTTTCTTAATATCTCATATCTCGTTCTTCTATCTCCTGTTGAATATTTCATGATTTTGAAAGGAATGCCTCCTAAATGTACACGCGACTCTCCCTCCACTTCAAAAGGGAAAGGCAAGGCTTCTTCTTCCTCCAACCCGACACGCTCCCGTGTTGATGAAGGTGGCTTGCGACGATTTCTTAGCCCAGAGCATAAACTTCGATTTGATCAGGTGGTTTCAAATTGGACTGTTTTGCCCGAGCGGGAAGTGATATTGGATGATTTCCAGAATTTTGAGATCAAGACATTAATTCACCGTGCGGGTTGGGAAAAGTTGGTAGCTAAACCATTTCCTATTTATCTTACACTTGTTCAAGAGTTCTATACAAATTTTAACTTTTTTAAGTGTTTGTCACTTTTTTTTGAATTTCCTTATCTTTTGAGTGTTTGTCACTTTTTTTTTTCACCTTTCTGTCACTTTTTTTTTTAATTTGTGTCACTTTCTAAGTATCTGTTACCTTTTTTAATCTATATAACTTTATTTTTTTCACTTTTTTGAATTCATCACTTTTTTTAAAAAAAAAATTGTCACTTTTTTCGAAATTTTATCTCCTTTTTTTTTTTAAAGTTTTTGTCACTTTTTTCAGTCACTTTTTTCATCACATTTTATTTTGATTTTTGTCACTTTTTTTGAATTTGTGTAGGGTTAGACAAAATATTCGAACCGAATCGAACTGTGCGATTTTTCTTAAGTTAAATATCCGAACGAGTATCTAAATCGAGAATCGACGGGTTCAGTTCTCTTTCTCGGTTCTAGACCAAGAACTGAAGAACCGAATCTTTCTAATTTTTTTAATTTTTTTTATATTGGATAAATCAAATTATTTTTAATTTTTTCTAAATAAATTAGCAAATTAACTAATTTTTTAATTAATGCTCCAACTCCCAAGTCCATGCCTAGCTAGCTCAACCCAACCAAATTTCTAAATCCAACTTTTTGGTTTAATTTTTGGCCCAAATATTAGTTCAATATTAACAATTAAGCCTCACTGCCCAAGAGGGCCAATACTTAAAAATTTTAAATTTATAACTTTTAATTTATTAACAATATTAATTTATATTTCATTTTTCATGTAAACTTGAAGGTTTGAACCATGCGAACCATTGAATGGATCGTTGAAGTTTTAGTATTAGTATCTACTCTTTGGTATTTGTATGCATTAGTAAATTAATCTTGTTGGACAATTTGTTATTTACATGTTATTAAATTGGACGACGTTAATTTTCTAAAAATACGATTGAATGTGTCATTAGTTGTATTTATGTAGTGTTATTATAAATGTTAAAAAATTTAATTATAGTACGGAATCGAATGGAGCCGAACCGAACCGAACCAGAACCCGAACGGTTCCATAATTATATTTGGCTTCGACGGTTCCATTTATTAAATATCCGAAATTTTTTTGTTCGGTTCGGTTCTCAACCCGTGCTCAGACCTAAGTTTGTGTCACTTTTTTTGAATTGTGTTAAAAAATTGACAATTTTTATTAAAAAAAAAAAATGACACAATGTCACTTTTTAATTTTACACGGTATTTTTACTTCCAAAAAATTTTTCATATGATTTTTCAAAACACCGGATATTTTTGTAAGTTACCCTTTTTATTTTTTAAAATACTAATTTCCTACCCGAACCCGTCTTCCCTTCCCATTGTCCCAATTAAGAAAGGCCAGAGCGGGAAACGACCATACAAAGGCAAAACCAAGAACCGGCACTACCCGAACCCGTCTTCCCTTCCCATAATCTCTCTTCTCACTCCTTTCTCAGCAGTCTACCGCGCCATGCCATCCTACTGCCTTCCTATTATCGGTAGGAACCGGCACTACCCAAAACCCATCTTCCCTTCCCATCGTCTCTCTTCTCACTTCTCTCTCAGCAGTCTGCCGTGCACGCCATCCCACTACCTTCTTCCTATTATCGATATAAAATGTGATTTGTTTGAATAGGGCTGTTAATTGAAATTTGTTTTTATAATTCAAGCATATACCTTTTATTTCAATTTGATTTCACTTTGTAACTAAGTATGCCATACCTTTTACCTCTCTCAATTTATGCCCATTGAGGCTGATGCCGTAACATGGAAGACATTGCTTACTGCCTGCAACATTCATGACATTAATGACTTAAGTGGGATGGGGGAGACAGTGAGACAAAAGCTACTTGAATTGGAGCCCAGAAGAAGTGGGAACTTTGTGATGGTGGCAAACAAGTATGCTGAAGCAGCTTTGTGGGAGAAAGCAACAAATGTGAGGAACATTATGAGAGATAAAGGATTGAAAAGACGGTCGGAGAGAGCTGTCTAGAGGTAGGAGTATCCATCTTTAGATTCTTCTCTGGAGATGAATTCAAACTTGCTTATAAGGATATGTTTGTCTTGCTAGATAGACAGAACTTGCATATTAAGATGATAAATGATGACTAATAGTGTGATTCTTGAGTGGTTTTTGAAAAGACAGTTTTAGTAGTCGTAATTGGAAACCAAATATGTTAAAATCAAGAGTATAAGTGTATAACAGTTTTAGTTCTTATAATTTGATCTATTCGTTCTTTGTATGATATGATCTAGTGAGACGACAATCCTAAGAATGATATTTTCTTCAAGTATATGAAGGGTGTGTCTTAATTATATAAGTTGTCTTTTCCTTGATTTATTTTTAAGCATTGCGACTAGGTTGTTCAACTAAATTCCTAGAATTTGTGCATTGTAATGACCTCTATGATTTGTAGGAATCTTAGTTGTGAGTTCATTCCTCTCCTTTTATGCTAATAGGTAATCTTCATGGAACAATAAACTGTTTGAAAATCCTGTGAACAAGAGTTTGAATGGGAGCAAAGGCCAAAGAGAGGTCTCCAATAGAGCATTATTTAGGAATTTGAACTAATGAAAACATTGAAAAGCTGCTCACCTAGTCACCTATTTTGCATGCATAATACAATTTTTTTTTATTTTAATTTCGTTTTGTAAACTATATATATGTTTTTGTAAAGCTAGTATGCTCATTTTTACCTACTTATATCTCTAGCGGTTAATTTATGTTTTCATTGATGTGATTGGTAAGGAGGATTTAAATGTGGATGATTATTACAATGAGAATTTTTGTGTTTAGAAAATTCTAAATTACTGTGAGAATTTGTCATCCTTATCTTTTGCTTTTGTTCTGTGTATATGTTTTGACTTTTAAATCTATATATGGTCAGCTTTATAGGATGGTTCTAATCTGAATTTTGTCATTTGCAAAAAAATGTACAAGAGCAGAACACACCTAAGACTGCTAAAAGAATGGCAGCCAGTCGACACTGTCATTCAGAGATTGGAAGGGACGGGTTTTGATCTCGTCCACAGAATAAACACGGACTATAGGACAACGATCGACTTTTTATTAGCACTGGTAGATCATTATTTAGTCGACATGTCATGTTTTATCATTGGGGATCAGAGGATAACCCCAATGTTAGACGACGTGGCCAGAATTACGGGGTTCTCCATTGATGACTTGCTAGTAATTGGACAGGATTATAAAGCTGATGAATGCCCCGGTATCTACAGTGAGTTATTGTTATCGCCGAGGCTTCTCCATCCGAAGAACAGATGTGATGTAATTCTCAAGGAATTACAATCTTTCAAGGACTTTCCCTCCGTTTTAGTTAGGGCCGGACTTGACCCATACGTTAGGGCATATGTCCTTTACGTCATCGGATGCTTTCTTACTCCCCCTAGGGATCATTCTTCAGTTTCATGCATGTATTTGTCCTTGTTGAGAGATGTGGACGCTATTCGAAATTATGCATGGGGAGCTGCATTATTGTGCTAATTGCATCACAGCATGACAGAATTTAAAAGGGTAATGATTGGCGGAAAAAATCCCCAAGTCTTGAGTTTTTGTGCCCCTTTTCTTACAGTATATATTACTTTTATTTATTTTCTTCATTTACATACTTTATATAAGTTAATAAATTATAACTTATATTTTTCATTTGTTTGTAGTTTTTCTTCTATGAACATATCCCTATAATTCCATGCACTCTCTATGATGTGGATATTTATAGAGAGAATTTTGAGGAAAGAGAGTTGTTTTCTATCTTTCCATTAATGATGGGATGGTCTCAAGCGGTGGAGAACAAGTCCAAAAACTCCTATATCAAAAAGAAAAGAGAGGAATTTGATGTGATGCTTACAAATGAAAATGTAAGTTTATTTTATTTATTGAATTCTTAGTTGCTCTACTCTAATTTTCTTTAGTTTTCAATTAACTTTATGTTATTTTCTCTCGTAGATTGTGTGGTAGCCATATGCAAGATTGTCTGACAATTTTCTACCTCATTATCTTGTTGGGCGGATGGATGTTGCACTTTCCCATACAATATTGATATGTTTTGAAAAATTAGCATATCATCGGCCGGACTTGTGCCCACTTAAGTGGAATTTGCTGGTTGATTTTGTTCCTCTCGAACCATCGCTGTCGATAGTCAACAAGAAGCATACCGCTTCACGAAAATTTAACTAGACTGCGAGGCACGTGAATTTTGTAATGACGTGGGATGAGAGGAGATTAAATTTGATTATCAACAAAAATGGTAATTTATTTATTTTATCATTTTTTTAGTTTGTTAAATTTTATTTATGTTTTAAACTAAACGTGTTCTTTTTATGTTTGGTAGTAGCGAATGAGAGTGAAGGGCTTGGCTTCTAATGGTATTTGTCCCTTTTTTTTCTATATTTTAAATTTTATTTATGTTTTAGACTACTATTATTCCTTTTATGTTTGTAGACAATGAAAATCAAATGCCATCGATGCCCGGAGGAGTTGAAAGTGATTTGAGAGATGACTTTCATGGAGGGGCCAACATCATCGATGAAGGGCCGAGCCAGGAAACAAAGGTTCGTGAAAGTCACATCGAATATCAAACTCCCATTGGGGACTTTCACGGTCCAAGCCTTGGTACTTCTGGAGGGGCCAGCCCCATTTATGGATGGCCGAGCCAAGAAACTGAGGTAGATGGAAGTCACAATGAAGAAACTGCTACCGAGCAACATGAAGCAAGCCCAAATTTTATTGTGGACGTGGATGACATGAGGCATGGCAAGAGGGTGAAGATAACCCCTTCATTGCTTGGTTCATATGAAGTTGATTTAGCCATCCGTCGAATTCACAGATGGAATAATTGAATGTGAGGAAGAGGTAACCGTTATTTCATCTTTTTATTCTACATCACATCTTCTCTTATGGGATTTCTTCTGTAGATGTTTTATCTTTTGTGTAAAATTTTGAAGGTTATAATTTAATTAGAATGATGCCTTTTGATTTATATGAGAACATTAGGTGATGAAGGTTAATAATACATTGTAGGAGAAACTAAACATAATTCCGTTTTGTCTACACAAATGAGGATGTTGCAATTGTTTTCAGATCTTGTAATTCTTGATGTTTGTGTGCATTCTTCTGGCTAATATTTGTGTGCATTCTTCTGGCTGATAATGTTTAAGTTACAATGATATGTAGCTTCAGAGTTTCTCCAGGTGGTGCTACTGTTTGTATAGCAAACTTGGGAGATTTCTCTTCTTATATTGGAAATGTACATTTTTTCCTTTACCTTGTCTTGTTCAAGAACTTTATTTTATTATCATAAACACCAATGTTCCTTGAAAATATGTTGTTTTGCTTCTGTCAAATGAAGTGCGCAGATTGGTGAAGCAGCTTGTCAGGTTTTACTTTTATGTATGGATAAAATGACGTGGCTCTGAATTCTTTTTCATTTGCTTATGATTTCATCTTTAATGTTTAGGAAATGGAAGGAAACTGTGGATGAGTAGGTTAAGGTGAACAAACCTGAAGCATCTTCACACCTTATCGGCAGATAGTCCAATTTCTGTTATTGCTTTTCATTTTCACTCTATCTTGCATATACTACATGCATTAAAAACAGTTGAATTGAATGAGAGTAATGAATTGTGAGTATAGAAGAGGTTTGTATATTGATAACTGTGGTGGTGGCAGTGGAAGCAGCTGATGGGGACTCATCTCAGCAGAACATGTCCAAAAATCAACAAAATGGTCATCATCAGGTGAAAACCAAATGTTGTTTCAATCAATTTGTTTTCCTGTTAAAAAAGAAAGATTGAAAAAAGAAAGTAAAGGAAGAAGCAAAGTTGGTATGAATGCAGTTTAAAAATTCTGAAATTCTGATTTTACAGGTGCCGAATTTTGGGCACTCTCCAAATCCACGGAGAGAATGTATGAATCAAATCCTGAAATTTGCAGTTGGTCAGTATTTTTGTTGCTTCCTTTATGTTGTGCATTTAGATGACATTATTCTCATGTTTTGCCTGTTAGATGTGTGAAGTCTGGTGCAGAAAGGAACATCTCAGAATATGAACCAAAGCCTAGACAACCTCAATCTGTCCCTCGTAGAGAACTCTATCTAGACGACCACAATCAGTTCCTAAATCTGCTTCTTCTCCTCCTAGTGTACTGACTTCTGAACTGAACTTTTTATACATACAAATGCACATTACGCATCATTGATTTGTGTGCGTAAATGGATGGTTGTGCCTGTTAAAAATTTGTTGGTTCATCTTTTAAACACTCAATTTTCATTTTGATGTTTTGTTCAGAGAAATTTGTATGGTGCATTATGTTGATACTTGGCATTATGTTTATGTAATTCTTAATGTTTTAAGAGAAAACTATGTTGGTGAAAGCGTGGTTTAAGATGCTTTACTTGTTCTACTTCTCTTTTTTTTTAAAATTTTTTTTTTTTGCTTTGCTCAACTAGGAGAACCATATGTGTGGTTCTGGAGTTCAAATACATTATATATATATATATATATATTTTATTGTGAGAACCATACGTGTGGTTCTGGATTTTCCAACGGCTGCTCAAGTTCAAAATTAAAAAAAAGGGGCAAAACAGTCTCAATTAAATTTATTAAAAAAATTAAAAATTGCAAATGAATCCTAAATAAATTATTTATTATTATTTGAAAATTGCAAACGAACCCCAGATTAAAGGTATTGTTGGGAGTGGAAAATGAGTGCTCGAGTTAATTTTAAATCAAAACATCCTTTCGGGATTGGCGTTGAATTTCATTTCCGTTCCTTTTGCATGTTCATAAAATATGTTGCGTACTAGAATTTCATTTGGGGATGGATG